TGTATTGTTCAATAAACCAGCCATTTTTTGTTTTCATCACTTCTCTTTGTAGTTCATTCTTGTTATGAATCGTAGATGGATTTCAACGATGACCTCCCATAGTTCTCTGGTTGGGTTTGGTTTTGGTTTTAAGACAGCTGATCCTCGTTTTATTTTAATTTTGTTCCAGTAAAAAAAAAGATTAATTAAATTGATTGCCTTTAATTGATAGTGACAGGGAAGGGGGAGAGAGAGAGGTGATGACACACAAGCAAAGGCCACAGGTCGGATTTGGTACATAGGGCGCCAGCTCCACCTGGTGAGCTATCCGGGGCACCCTTTTTTTTCCAGTAGAATTTGTTAGTGAGAGTCCAGAGTGTTAACCCATGATTTGGGTTGGCCTGGGGTCATGAATAAAAAATAAAATAAATTAATAGATGGATCCCCCAGCAATACAGTGAGTACTGCTATGTGTTGCTCTAAGCACAAGCTGCTCAACAATTCACCCTCATTCAAGTGTGTATTGTTGCCTGTAGTTATGCAAAATGTTATGCCTAGATAATACGTTGTAGAGGTTTAATGTTCCTGTGTGTATATGTGATGGAAGCAAATACCGTGAGTAGTGCAGGAAGAAGATAAGACTCAAGGCCATGGGACAAAACCAACCAGACTTCGGTGCTTCATTAAACTGCAGGCTAATCATACATGGACCTTGACCTTGTGTTTTTTATTTAGGTTTAGCAACCCCCATTTTGACAGAAGATTACACGACAACTGGTTCGTGATAGAGTGTAAAACAAAAGGTAAATGGTAGACTGAATAAAAATAATACAACAGAGGAGAAATTTGGAAGAAAAATAAACACAAAGATCTAGACACATATATTACTAATCAATAGTTAGTTTTCAACATTACAGACTAGAGTCAAAGCACATTTTACTATGAAAAAAGCAGTTGAATAAAAAATACTCGCGTCCAGGAGGACTTCTTAAATCCTTCTTGATTTAGCCTGTACCTTCCCATAAAAGCCACAAATTCAATGTTTCTGACAGACACAGGTTTCCACCCTCAACTCTCCCCTGACACATAAAGATCCCTTTATATTTGCTTTGTAGATATTGTTTTAGATCTTACCAACAGCCATTATGCAGGGAGCCACAACTATGTGATGCATCTTTTCCATTAGTCTTCCCGGACTAAGGGACTAAATGAAAGTGATTAAAGGGGAAGGACTGGTTGGAGAAGGGGGAGGGCATTGTAATTTTGTTTACTGACTTATTTGGGAGAGTCAGCAAACAACATAAAGGTCCAGTGTGGTTTAACATTTGGGAGGATCTATTGGCAGAAATTAAATATAATATTCATAGGTATGTTTTCATTAGTGTATAATCTCCTGAAAATAGGAATTGCTGTGTTTTTGTTACCTTAGAATGAGCTGTTTCAGTTCATCCTCTTATACAGAGTCTGCCATGTTGAACCACCATGTTTCTACAGTAGCCCAGAACGAACAAACCAACCACTGGCTGTAGATAGAGCCTTCACTACTAATGCCACTAGATCCTACACACTGATCTTTTATGAAAATACATGCAAAGTGAAAGAAGAAAAACAAATCCAGAAAACATCCTCACCATTTTGAGAACAAGGGCAGCATTTAGAAAAGTGTATTAAATGTATTTAAACAGTTTAAGCATTAAAAAATATTTAATTAAACAATAAAGTTCATTGTACTGAATTCCATTCAGTTAATTGAATGAAGCAAATTATATTTATTTTATATTTATTTACAGAAATGCTGCAAGTAGGAGAGACCAGGGGACACTAAAAAGTGATGCACACAGCTGGGACACACTTGTTGTCATGTTTGTGACTCAGTTATTGAAGTCAGCTATTGAAAATGAGCAAAAATGTACAGGCCTTTTGGTGGGACAACAAGTGTGTCCCAGTGTCCCAGCTGAGTCTGGCCGTGTTCATCACTTTTTAATGTCAAACTATTTCCATTGTTGTCTGTTTTTGCAGCACGTTTCTGTATTTGGTTGTGTTTTCTCTCCTTGTAGTATTTTTTCTAAATGCTGCATTGTCAAATTAGTTTCTTTTCTGAAGTTTTAAGCCATCTTACAAATTATGCATATATTTTGTCAGTTTAAATAAAGTGAAAGACTTTCTCTGACATTAAATTTTGGCTTTTAGGCAGGGATTCAGAATAGCTTTTTAGTGGCAAAGTACATCAACACAACATTGAATAATTCATGATAAACACAAGATAATACCATAGACAGTAAATGAAATTAGTGGATATAGCTTCCAGATCTGAAAAGTGAAGTTAATGCCAAATTGCCTTAAAACTTTATTCTTTTTAACGGCCAGCAGAGGGCAATTCCATTGGTTGCAAAAAGAAGTCCGACTGTATAAGCTAATGGGAAAATTACCCTACTTCTCACTTGATTTATTACCTCAGTAAACATTTTCCTAATAAGTTTATGGACTCTATGGACTTCTTCTGCACTTCCAAGTCTTCTTTAAAACAGAACGGTGTTTATTCTGTAACTGATGGTCCCATTTTAGTTTTTAGTAGTTTAGTTTTATTTTGCCAGCCTCATTATTTAAACACACACTTTGGATGATATTGTGGTTGAATTTTGGAATTCAACTCTATCTTACAACCTACCTTTTTTCTGGACTTTAGACAGGACTCTTGTCCACTTTTGATGATTGTGATTAATCTTGCCTTATAGTCAGTCAGAGTAACCATGTTTTGTGCACTGTCAACATTATATATTTTTGATTGAATAAATTTGAAAATTTTCCCAGACAGTATCATTTGCTTGACACATAGATAAACACATAAATATATATAATAAAATATAAATAAATAATATGACTCAAATATGTAGGTATAAAATCATTTTGTTGCTATCTATTGTTAAACAGCACAGACGTTACAACTTTAACAATAACAAACGAATAGTAATCATTATTTCACTTCATCACAGGTATGGTTTTATTCAGAGTAATTTTGAGTGAGTCTTTTGACTCACTCTTCCAGCCATGCTTCTCTCTTGCTGTTTGTCAGATGTGCATACTTGAAATCAGTCTCAGGTTCAACAATAAAGGTTTCGTCATTCATCATCACTTTTGAAAGGGAACCTGTAAAAGAGTTGTAACTTCTGTTCAGGTCAAATGGAGAGCAAGTCAGAAAGAAGTGGTTAAGACAAAAAAACTAAATTATTATATGCATATGTTATGCATTTGTTTAGCATTTTTCTTTAGATTCCTCCAGACAACTCGTATTAAAGAACTACATCCATTCAAATACTGACAACACAGATACAGACTGCCTGCAGCCTTCTGCTGTAGTCACTGTACATACTGTACCTCAACAACTGTCTGCCTTATGTTGTCCACGTTCAGAACGACACTCGCGCTCTCACTGTCAACTTGGAAGAAGTTTAGTCTGATTCTAATGGGTGATAATGTGTCATCCACACATTTCTGCAAGAAAAAAAAACAGTCATGCATATTGTTGAAAAAACTTTCAAAAAGCACAAAGATTAAAATGGCAGATGAATTGAGAAATTTGTAAAGAGAGATAGATAATAGACAGCTTGGCGATATCCAACACTCATAAACGTGAATATG